TCTCACTCCTAAACACAATTCCACAGCTGGTTGTCTGGTGCAATGCTGTGGGCTTTTGTACCGAAATGTGTTGTGTTTTTAAAATTTCCAAAGCAGAGCATAAAACACCTGCTGTGATTGCATTCAAACATCAGATGGTTACTTGCTTGTTCGCTGTGCGCCTTGTGGCAACTATTGTGAACACTTGAATGAAAAAAAAAGTCATTTTCAAAGCCAATCCTCACGACAGGCCGTCTACAAAAGAAATAATTGTATCTTTTTGGGTTTACAACATGTAGCGAGACGAGAATACAGCTTTAGCCACACCACGACAGCGCACGTAGCATCCCGAGGTCTGTTAGAGCTAATTCTCCTAAGCCCTGCGCACAGCTATGGAGAAAAACCATAGACAAACTCGAAGTATCAGGGGAGTACAAGCACTACAAAAAGACAGGCAAAAAATAACCCCTGTATTTTTATTATAGAATAAGATGTGCTTCAGAGAGGGAAATAAAGTTCAGAAGAAACAAATCTAGCAGTGTATCAGGGCACACTTAGGTTATGAAAGTCGAGAAAACTTTTTGTACAGGTAGACAAAATAGAAGTTTTATTATACCAGTGCTGTTTACTTTGTCCTTCCATTTGTATGTACTCATCAACTATGGCAAAAGTGGATAAGTACATTAACTTAGTTACTTTGTTTGTACATTTCAAAGTACTTTTCTAGCAGCATACTTTAACTCCTACTTGAGAAATATATTGCACTGTGTAACTCTTACTTGAGTAAAAGTTCCCACTTCCCACTGTGAGTAAGCCTGCAGGTGATTTGTGTTTCTTGCACCGCTCCTTCAGATTTTTCTTCAGATTCCAATTTTTAAATTAACTATATTATAAGGGATTTATAGAATAGCAGTGACAATAGCAGAAAAGAGAAAGTGAGAGAGTTAGCTAAAGATTTGGGAGTGAATCATGAGTTATATCTGCCTTTTAACATGTAAATACACAGTTTCCTAGTGCTTTTCTTTTTCTTTTAATGCTGTATTTGTATGAACTCCTGAGCATTGTGCCTCGAGGGTGCAGCTTGGGTCAGACACACAGAGATACTTAATAGTTTAGAGCTTTTGTCACACCCCGTTTTTTAGTCGACTAATCGATCAGCAGGGCTTTTTTGGTCGACTACAGGCCTATTATTAACATAAATGTATATATTTCTTTTATGTTATCAAAGATCTAGGGTTGAATACTCCCTATAGCAGCAACGAGTCAACAAAATGGGTTTAGCTGAGAAGATGAATAAAATTATTTTTCTGACAATATTGCACAAAAAATGTATTATTTACTTTATTATATTTAATCACCAATATCATATGCTCCCCAGTGAATGTAGGCCCTGCCAAAAACTGACCATTTTCCAGGGGATTGCCCAAAATTAACAGTTGCTATGACATTAATTACTTTAGATACTGCCAAAAAATATATTAGTTATAATAGAGAATTTTACTGCAATGAAAACACACAATCAAAGGCCTCTAGTTTCAAATGTAAACTGAAGAGTGCTTTGGACTACTTCGCTAATGGCTTTTTTCAAATGGCCTTTGTAGCAATCTAACAATTCAATTACAGTATAGATTAGAATTGATTAAGTAAGACTCACCTATTAACTGGTTGCCCCACACTGACAAAAGTTCCAGGTTTAATAGAAAAAAATAGCACATTTTACCAATATTCATGTTTGTGTTTAATACATATTAGTCCAATGGTGACAAAACATGACTGACTAAGTAAAAACCTTGGCTTCAAAGAAGCAGGTGACTTGGATAAACAATGGCAGAAGATAGAAACAAGGACGCCAATACACAGGAGGGCGAATCCACCTTGAATTATAATTAGCCGGAATAAACAAGGCCCTCTTGATTAGTCTTAAGCACAGGGAGTAGGAGCGAGACCAGATTTTAAATTAATCCAATAGGTGTGAGTCAACATGGTGAGAAATGATATCAACTCCCCAAGAGCCACCAGCCAAATGTTCATAATTAACATCAAATTAACCCAAAACTAGAAAACACGTGACAACAAAAAGCTCAACAATAGCATAGTACAAATGGATGCTAGAGACATGCACACATAACAGTTTCAAAATGCTGTGTAAATTTGTGATACCTTCATAATTTGTTATAATGCAATGTGCCAAAATAGATCTTAACTCTTAGTGTTGCTACATTAACATATTTCTGTCCAAGAAAGAAATATTCTGCCACAAGAAACAATTCGGTAAAAGTTAAGGCCACTAAAACACAATTAAAAAGGGGCTTCAAAAGAACAAAAGGTTTACAGACGCAAGTTGCAAATAACACTGCCACTGCTCCTCTACTACTAAAAGAGCCACTTTTGATAAGTTAACCCAAAACACTCTCATCAACTTCTACAGTGTGTCAAATAAAGTAAATTAAAGCAATTATTCTTTCACAAATGGCCCTCCTCAGACACTTGAACATCAGTTACCAACAGAATAAGAGCAGAGGTTTCTGAGGAGTGGTATTCTGAGTGGACGGGTCTTTAAGTCTCTGCAGCCTCACAGTCATGTCCTTGGGGAGGTCTTGTTTTTATGGTCTGTCACACCAGGACGACGCCCCAGGGCATACCAGGGACTATGGCTCCGGGATGACCCTTAATACCACAGTCTGGGCCTGAAGGCATGAAAGAACCCACTGACTTCTTTGTCGATTCAACAGTTCATAAACAACAAAAGATACCGAGCCATACTGTATGCATGCTCATTTTAACCATGATCACTAAATGAAAATGAAATGAATAGGCATTTAACAACTTGACTCTGTGAAAACCTTGAGAGAACTGATTTAACAGTATGCCATTATTGAAAAATATAATTCTACCTTGATATTAATAATGCAAATTTTCTGCTTTTGCAACAAAGCTTCTATTTTTAATCAAATAAATTGTTAATTGTGAGAAAAGTTAAAATGAACAAAAGTTGAAGAGTGTGCCGCGACTTCTTTCTGCCCTTGGAGGGGGAAGAGAGCATCTGAGTTCTTGGTCTTCTTGAGCTTGTTTTTTTAATGTTTTATTTTTTTCATTCAGCTTGTTCTTGACATTCTTCAGCTCCTTCTCTTATGATGTGTACAATTACATTTGAGGGGCTTCAGGGTGTTCACAAATGGGAATTGAAGTACTTTCTGTCCTGGTCTAGACTAACAATCTGGACCTGAACTGTGGGCAGGTCTTTGTGGGCCAGTTCAACACTGATCCTTTAAATGGAGGCCTCGGGTTCTATTGGATGGCCTCAGCTTCGTAATTGAGGGGATACCTATGATCGGACATATGATATAGCTGCAAATTCATAACACAAGCTATATTCGTTTTTGTTTTCCTAACTGATAAAAAAAAAGTTGCATGTCATATATATATTTATTTACCTATGACAGCAATCGAATAAAAACATACAATATGATATAAGATATGCACTAACCAGAAGAACAAAGTTAATGTTCTCTTTCATATTACACCACATTGCAGCACATCTTGAACCATCTCTTCAAATAATTGTCTTAGAAGCACAGAATGAAAAGTCGAAGTTCACACACTTACTGATCTCTTTCTCAACACCCCACAGAGTCAAGTCTTAGCCCCGATTCCACTCTGCCTGCTAATAACTTCAGCTCTGCCTCTCCCATTTTCAACAACACACAACTCACTCCACAAAGAATAAACAGACCCACAATAGATGGACTGATGACTCACGTCCCATTGCAGTGCATCCTCCCAGTGTGAGGTATTTCTACTCTATAGGCTTTTCAAGAATCACCAAGAAACACCAGGGACCTGCCCTAACAAGAGAAAGGCCAAGGAAAGAGCACGCTATTTCAAGTCAAACTCGATGGATACATTATTTACACATGACGACAGCTGTTACGTACAGTACTGTGTAGGAAGTTAGAGTGATCTGTCTGTAGGAAGGAGCTGTTTTTAAAGGTGCTGTACCTGATTTTTACTGTTTTAAAAATGTAAAAAAAAAAAAAAAAAAAAAAAAACATAGCTAGTTATTTTAAACGATTTGCAGTGGTCCAGAGCTATTTCTCACTTACCTTATGCATCTGACCAGCCTCACAGTGACGAGTTTATTAGTGTTCTTCACAACTTTCAGAGACCTTTCCGATCGGCTTTATAATTAGATGCATACAGTACACAGTGGGCACATTTTGACATCAAAGCTTTGAACAAAAGACAAAAAAGGTAGATTTTTGCATGTGATTCTAGATCTGGCCACTAAAGGTATAACATGGCAAATTGAGATGATTGCCTTGGTGGAGGTTTACAGTTTTAAAACTGTAATTCTGAACCTGATCCACACTTTTGTAACTTTCCCTTTCATATAAACCAGGACCTCACAGTAGAAGAGGAAAAATGTCATCTAGGTCTATCTTTATCGAAAATTAAAGTAAAAAAAAAAACATCAAAATCAACTGTGGTCATAAATTATTCACCAGCACACTTCACATGTCTGCTGGCAAGAGTGAGATAGCAGCAGACTACACGAATACTAAAAAATGCTTTCCCTCTTCCGACACTTATGGCGTTTGGTGACAACAACAAAAAAAACAAAAGTCGTAGAAAATAACAAATTTGTGACGAATGTGACGAGAAACATGATGAGGCTCACGGCATGTAGTTCTCTGGAGGGGACAAAGAGCTGGACTGTAGCCCGTAGCACATTATGCATGGTCACTTCCCCAGCTACACTGACCCGTCCAGGTTGATTAGCTGAATAAAGATGCTGTAATTAAAAGCTAATGAGTAGCAAAGGCCGTGCTTCTATTCACTGGTAAATCTGCAAGCTGCAAAGTATAATGAATTAACTCCTAGGAAGCACAAATCCCCCACAAACAACTTCAGCCTCATGAGTGGGAAGGCAAACTAATTGGTGCCGTCGGACATAATAAGAAGAAGCAGTAGTTTCCTCCGTGAAGACAGGAGGTGATAAAGTGGTGGACAGGGAGACTGACCGGGTGCCGTCTGCCTTCCAGCTGACTTTGTACGGGCTCTGCTCCAGGAAGCGAAGGTTCTGGCGGTCCATGGACACGGGCTGAGCTCCGGGGAATCCAGACCTGGAAGAGAAATGATGCGTTAGTGTTTAGAATAAGTTAGAAAAATTGGTGATGAGAGTTACTGAGAGTTAAAGTTACTGTTTCAACTAAAAGAGCAAATGTTCTTCCCTGTACCACTAAGGTTAATTACATCTATGTTAAGCTATAGATATATCAATTGTTTCTTCATTGAGGTTGCCAAATAGCTTTTTGTATATTTATTAAACATATTTAACCATTTATCTAGACTTTGGAGTGGCAAAAAGTAAACAGGTAGTTTGTCTTATTTAAATCATCAAACAAACACCTTCAAAGTATGCAAATAAGTCCTGGTATCTTCTTCAACCATGTTAAATTTTTTGGTAACAATTGTATTATTTTCCTTTTAAAACTAGAATTAATCAGTAAGCACACATTTTTCAATGATTGTCCAAGCACATTTTGTAAAGTATTCTTATTATACCAACTTTTACACATAATTAGCACACTCCTGCAGTACTCTATATAATATTATTGCAACATTTGTACTTCTTAACACAGTTTAATTTAGATCCCAGACCACTGAGACTGAACGGTATACACTATCTTACTTTAACTGCCCTTCTCGAAATTTACATGACAATTTGTTCTTGAGTTGTAAGATTCAAAGAGCAGCAGAAGGCTCCCTTATCTTACCCTAAGCCTGCTGTCTTCCCACCGTAGCCTCAGAAAATGAATATGTATGTGAAAACAAACACGGCCTGACCTTTAGGCAAACAGGGGCTTAGCATTTGTAAAGTGCGGCTCACACAAAATAACACAAACTCATAAATAAAAGTACACATAGTTGCACTGTAACACATAAAATGACCTTTCACTTGCACCAATCAATTTTAAAATATATTTAATACGCAAATGGGAGTCAATAGTCTGTTGGAGAGTCCGTTGTGTGTTTCTCTCTGTGGAGATATTTCTGCTTTTTCTGAAATGTTCCACAGTATGGGGCAACCTGATCAATTTTTGTTCAATTAAAGATGATTTTATGGTGAACAAAAACAAAAAACTGAATTCAAAAATATGTATTCTTATTGTGGGTTTGTTGTTCCACAGACGTGACCTGTAACATGGCCAGAAGTGCAAAGACCTGCTTGTCTAAAGACCTGCTTGTCATACTGTGGAAAGCAATAGTATTTGGAGGCAAGCAGACGTCCTCTACCAGAAAAGTTACATAATGCCCCTTTAAATCTGATTTATTTCGTTTTTTTTATGCTGGAATCAACCATAAAGCTTAGAAATCCAAAAATCTATAGTTGGATTGTGGCAGCCTAATAAGGAAGACTTGTGGGAAGCAGCAGGTAGTGAAAATAGCTGCATCGACTGTTGTGCCGCTTTGACAAGAAGACGGGGCAGAGCATCGCTGACGCCATCGAGTTTCATTAAAAAAACCTGCAAGTGCGTGTGTTTTTGTCTCTATATAAAAAAACATATCCCTGCCGCTATTGGCTGTCTAAAAGTGTCAAGATGGAAGACTAATGAGTCACTCGATGGCACAATGGCGAACACCCACGGCCCGCACAGTTTGTTCCCATCATGCTTTGCGCCTTACTTGTCCCACTCGGCCATCTCCTGACACAGGCGCTGGATCTGGCCCAGTTTCGGTTGGTTGGTGATCTGAGTGACGCCCTTCACCGTGATGCCTTCGAGGAACACCGCACCCTAGGACACAAGAGAGACACGTGAGGTTAGAATGGACAAGAGGCCCATTTGTTTAGAGCCGCCTCCGCCTCCTCAGTGACACCCTAACTCCAAAACAGATGTGGACCAGAACTCCCAGATGTGTAGTTACTATAAGAATAAAGAATTGTTATAGATTTTTTTTTTAAGTAGTACGTCTTTATTACAAGCAGCTGTGCTATCCAACACTGCGCAGAATTTGACATGTTGTGAAGTGAATCTTTGTGGAATATCGGTTACGTCATCTTATTCCATGGGGAAGTTGTGAAGAGTTAAGTGGGAGAGAAGGGAGTTGTGCTGCACGCTCCACCATGCTATACCTAGGCTAAAGAATTACTCATAATGACTAATTTTCCATTTAGATGTGTGAGGACTTTGTTGGCCTATCCATAAGTTTCAAAGTGATGAAAATATAACTTTTGAATTGAATGGGCAAAAGTCCTCAAATAGGTGCTATATTAGACAAAATTGATTCTTGTGAGGTTTAAGCCATGTGAGAATGTTGTCATCTCCTCAAAAACATACTCGAGAGTTGTGTTTTGTTTCATTCACATTATCACAAGGTGGAACCAAATGTTGTCAATTTGAGAGAAGAACTTGGCCTAAATATGCAGGATTTGTGTGAAACAATGACACAAAACACAACAGAATGGGCCCTTCAAACAGTACTGCAAGATGAAACCCAATGCAATAATAATGAGCCCCTCCACTTAACCTATGACATTGTTGTTGCAGTTTTTGATACTTTCTGTCTCCAAGCGATACAAATAACAAATTTTGCTTTTTTATGTAGCTGTTCGTTAGTCATAGCTGATATCTTGGGCTAACAGAATCTCCTGTCAACGTGACCTATCAGTCCAGCCCAGGCTGATTCATAACATCCAATAACATCCATTTTGCCAAACGGTATCTGCTCTATTATTGGAATGACCTGTTAGAGAAATATTTCATGTTCTCTGACACTCGGGCTTGAGAAAAAAAAATCTAAATATGTTTTTGTGTATTTGTGTGAATAACAGAGTGTTAACATTTAAATTTTTACACCTTCTTTGCTCATATACTACCAGTCAAAACACTTTTTCATTTGTGTTTTCTTTATTTCCATGATTATTTGCATTGTAGGTTCTCACTGAAAGCATCAAAACTACGTATTAACACATATGAAATGTAGTTAAAAAAGATAAATTAGTTTTGCGTTATTTTTGAGTTTTAGATTTTTGTAAAAAAAAAAATAGCTACCCTTTAATTTCATCACTGCTTTGCACTCTTTGCATTTCTTGACCCTGACATGGCACACCTGTAAACTCAAAACCATTTCAGGGGACTTCATCATGAAGTTAATTGATAAAAGGCCAAGGGCTTACAGCACTGTGAACAAAGAAATTGCTATTTTGATCATTTGAATACAAAATATATTTTAAAATAGTTGAATTACAGATTTTTATTTCTTTGCTACATAATTCTATGCATCTTGCTTTATTTATTTGATAACTTCGATATGTATATAAAATGTACAAAGCCGTAAAAATAAAAAAAATAAAAAACACTGAATGAGAAGGTGTGTCCAAACTGTTGACTGGTAGTGTATGTCAAATGCATTCAAACTACAGAAAGCTGACAGCCAAGTCAGTTGTTGCAGACACTGCATTTTTAACAGCAAAACAAACTGCTACTTTGCCTCAGAATTGACAAATGTTTTGTTTTTATCCCCCCACCAACAGGCAGCTGTATTCAGAGCCCTCTCGACTGCCATCTCCCATTAAAAAGTTTGAAAACATTCTAGTTTGATTTGTTAGTGCTCAGCTCATTTGCTCAAGCACATCTCATCTGACACGTCCTTGCTGCTTTCATTCACAATCAAACCAAATGTGGCCAGTATAATATGAAAATGTATAGCAATTAGACGCAACTGCAGCTGGAGTATGAAAGCCTCACCCCAGATCCATTAGTGACTGCATTATTATGAAGAATAGCAAAGTAGTGAGATGCTAATCCAAAGTCATGTCTGTATAAATGTATTTTCTGCACATGGGGTGAATATATTAAGGTGCATAACATTGGAGGTTGGTTACAAGTGTAAGTGTAAGTAAGCCGCAGTACTGAAATGTCCAACTCTATTTTGAATACTATTAAAAAAAACCCACATAATTTAAGGAGGGGGTATTATGCTAAATCAACTTTTTGGAACTTTCTACCACCAACACTGTTGCTTTATTAAAAATCTGCCTGAAGTGTTTTTTTGTCATCCATGAGATGTTTGAGTCATCTTATGATCTCTCCTAGAGAAATTCGTAGTCTCCTTAGGGTTACCAGTACGAGCTTGTGCAATGCTCAGCCCACAAGCCTATGTAGCCCATAAATATACAAAGGCATAAAACAAAACAAGATGCTACAACTTCATAAAGTTGATGCGATGTGCTGTAATTTTAGTAGCAAAATGCGTGGTGATGGTGTTGTGATCGTGCTCTGAAGGGGGAGCAAGGGGAGGGAACACTCAGTGTGTCAAAAATGAAACTGAAACTAATTAAACTTTTGCCCTTTGTGAAAATAAGTCTCCTTTACCAGGTCAATCGGAACAGTGTTATCGTAATTATGTACTATATAAGCCTAATGTAATTTCCAATACAAAATAATAAGAGTCTATTTACTAAAGGTCTAATACTTTTTCTGATAATGACAAAGATCATTCTATGAACATCCAAAAAAGGTCAAACCTTTTGGGCTTTTCCTTTTTCACTATCGATACCTGCTCAAATGCCTATGCAGTATAGATATTGGAATGGTGCCCAGTCCTTGTATATGAATCATATCAAGCCTTTAATAAAGTGCCTTATTATAATGCTCCTAGTTTATAATTATGAAGTGTTCTGACATTTCTTCTCATATCAGCTCCAGTGGAGTATATCGCCGCCCAGCAGTCTGACTCCAGTGCAAACCGCTCAGGCGATGGAGCGTCTTCTTCTTTAATGACAGGCGAGTAATGGGACTCTGCTCCTGCTGCTCCTGCCTCACCTCTGCTGTATCACGGTCTGTATTAGATTTACTTTAATACAGGTTTCAGTAAGCTATGTGCAATAACAGAGACACTGCCCTGGCGTGATTGATTCCATTTGGAACAGAGGTTTCCCACTTTAGGCTTACTTCAGATATTTGGAACTTAATTTGATTAGGTCTCCCAGATACAGGAACAAGTTATTTATCTAATCTTATTTTGTGTAGAATTAACGATTCTTTTAGCCAGACGGGAGAGTTTGTTTACCTGCTTTATGTGTTTCGGCTACTTCCTGTAGCTTTCCTCAGAAGTATCACGTGGCGTTTCTCCTGTCTGACTAAAAGAATCATTAAGTCTATAATTAAGTTTATAACTGAAGACAAAATTAACCTTTATCAACAAATAATCTTATTTTGGATGACTACCAATGATGGGAATTATGTTTTTACATAAACATGTGGAAGCCACGGCTGGACTACTTCATTTAACATCCTCGCAATTATGATTGTGATTATATTTCTGATTTATGTTTTAATAATAAGACAAAGTCTGTTCAACAAGAATCCAATTTCAGAACATGTTTTACAGATCTAAACTATGGGGTTAGCTGTTATTATGCAGAACAAGACGGGATATTTTGTTGTTTGTGGAGCAAATTATAGTTCTTCAAAACAGGCAGCCTTTGTGATTTGCCAGTTGAAATTGCAAGTTTGAATCAACTACGATTCATCTTGCATCTTTTGGCTTATAGTTCTAAATGTAGGCTTACATTAAAAGTAAATAAATAAATAAAATGGTTAAATGGTAAAATGGCTTATTCGGTGTGTCAACAAAACCTCATCCTGTTCAGATCCTAATAAAGGGTACTTTTTTGAACACTTCTGCAATGCTGTTCTGCATCAAATAACTTAAAAACAATGTGTAAAAAAAATGTCCACCTTTGGAGCAATGTGTCATTTATTTTCAGTGAGAACGCTTGATATCGCCCTCTACTGGCAACAAGGGGAAGTGAAGCTTGTTGAAATGGTTTTCTAGCAGCACAGCTACTTATTATACAAAATGCTAGAAGCAGACAAATGCGTCATAGGTGTTTTACTTGACAATACCTCTGCAATATGACCTACAAAGGCTGTTTACTCCATTCAGGACCATGGACAGTGCCAATCATCGTCACTGCTCCTCTCTTTGGCTGAGCAACACTGTAGAAACATTCTCATTTATTATTCTCGACATGTTTGAGTTTATGAATACGAAGACTGACGCGCCGTAAAATAAATGCAACAAGCTCCTCTTGAGCTTTTATGGGCGACAGTGATGCCTCCATAAATATGTATGTCACTTGGACAAACAGTAAGAATATCTCTGAGTCAGTGTTGGTTTTAGAATTAGCAGATTTAAACACACAATACAAGGTTATCAAATCCAGATAATTATCTAAGGCACGATTTTGGCGGGTGTGACTCATTCAATTTTTGGACCTTTATCCGTTTGGTCCCAGTTGGATTAATTTTGAATCCAAGTGTAGGCACTCTGCTCGCTTCTATATTAGACCCTGGTGAGCTTGCCAAATCATGAGGTGCATTAACTAAGATAGAAGCACTGCAAATAATACAGTCGTCCACCAAGTCATTACTATGCAACCCTGGCATTTGTGATAGCAAATTCTAAAACAATTTACATAAAAAATTTACAGAAGTGTACAGAATATAAGTAAGTTGAGAATACCACTGTTTTTACCTTGTCCTGGCTAACATTTATTTTGGAATCTATTTTAATGAAATAAATTCCATACTAGTGTTGTCAAAAGTATTAATAATTAGATGCTATTAGATACTAAAACTAGAACTGAAGCTAGACACTTATTTCAGCAGCTATTGATACTAAAAAAGTCACATTCACTGGAAAGAAATGAACCTTTCCTATACAGCTTTAGATTTTGAGCTGTATCTGAACAAGTATAAGAGCACATAGACTAGTATACGCCCATGGACAACTATGGAAACTACCTGGAGGGATTACACTGATATAAGGCCACATGGTAATATAAAGGAAAGTACTATTATTTAATGCTGAATATCACATTCTATTGTCTAAAGAAAGTATGCTTTTATTATCATCGTGGTATCAGTATCGGTATTGAGCATCAAGACTATTCCTTAGTACTGAAAAAAACTTAGTGAAATGTTTGTATCGTGACGACACTATTCCATAAATTAATTTGCAACATGCTTTATTCACATGGAGCTACTGCTAAAAGAGGATATAATTATGCATTTTGTAGTGCAAAGGGACGTGACCGCAATTCCTGGACCCTGATGTATTTAAAGTTAAGGAGGGTTTCTCAGAAGCAAACCCTCCCCATAGAACAGACCATACATTACTCAGCCCCAGGCACATCTCCCGCAGCGTGTAACCCATGGACATGTACTTAACAGTTGCATTGTGGGTCAGATCTCACCAGTTTGAGCTTCTCTTTCCTCCTCTTCCCTGGTGCGGACCCTGACGAGCTGGGACCGGACTCCTGGAGCGCGTTTCCGTCGTCATCCGCCTCGGGGTCCTCGTCGTCGAAGCACCAGTCGGGCAGCGCGGGGGCAGGGGGCGCGTCCTCCTCGTCTCCATAGCGACGGAACAGCTCTTTGAGGTACTCTCCCTTGTAGATCCCAGGGGCCCGGGCCTGCGAGAAGGCAGCCACAGCTGCTTCCACACTGATAAGAGAGACTAGTCAGTAGCAGTCAGGGTGCACGCTATAGTTTAATGGAAAAGCTTTAGGTGGTGATGCAAGGTGTGTCTTTGCGCACTTACACTGTATGGTCTAAGGGCATATCATTTTACATGTGATTCAGGCAGAGGCTCCGGGGGTACAAACCAATATTTTCTGTGTGGCTTTATTTGACTTCAGGCTACAATTTTCACATTATTACATAGTTTGTGTTATTGTAAACAGCCTCTTGTTTCAAAATGTGGATACACTTCATCCAAAAAGGCATTGTGTCACGTGCCATCTGACACGCCATTTGATCTTGTTTGCTATAGTAAATAAATAACATATGCTTACCAAACTTTTAAAAAACAGCCTTTTCTACAATGGTATGCAGTACACTGTGATTTAAAGACTAAAGTATATATTGTAGATTGTTATAATACTGAATTACAACTACTGAAATTGTATGCAGTGATAATCGAAAAGGAAATATTGAATCAACAATGAGACCAATAATATACAGCAAATAAAAATACTTTCTACTTGAACACCAACAACTTTAAATTTATCTGCCGCTAAATAAACTATTCTAATTTATAACAGCAGCTGAATGAGCTGTAAATGAAAGCCTGCTGCTCTGTTACTACTTAGTGGGTAGTAGGTGGAAAAACACCACACCCGACATCTGAATTTCCCCACAACAAAAAGAAAAGGGTTTATTGTTCTGTCGAGGAAGTAGTGGGTGGCTGGGATGGGTTTGCAACTCTATATATACGTCTCCAGTGGCTTGAGAGTTTTCCTCCCCGGGCTAACTCGAGTCCATCACCTCTCCCTCCTCTGCTATGCGCCTCTTAAATAATGCACTCGGGGTCTGTCCTGAGGTGCCTAGCTGCAGAGCCACCATCCACTCACTTGATTAGACCTGACAGTTCCCACGGCTGGACCTGGGCTAAAGCTTTCCTGACTGAAGCTTTGTGACAGCGAGGGGGAAAGGCATTGAGTAACCAGGCAAGTAACGCGTGTGATGGTGATGGTGATGATGATGAAGGCGGTGGGTGAGAGGAGACTTTGGAGCTTATGTTACCGGGCGAGGCATGAGTCACACTATGCGGTGATGTGAACTGCATGCAAACTGTGACCTTACCTCCAGTCCATCTTTTCCACCAGGTAAGCACAGATCAGAAACCCTGTGCGGTTGAAGCCATGCGTGCAGTGAACACCTTAGAGCGGAGAAAAGGAGAGAAAAATACAATGTCATGTGCATATGGGTAGAATGTCAAATAGGGCTCACAAAATATGGCTATCTCTGTGCTCAAATACTACGCCAATGCTGCAAGGCAAGATATATATGACAATTATCGTTAATTTAAGGTTCACTGAACCATAAGCATGCCAGAACATTAAAGATACACTATGTAACTTTTTTAAAAGAGTATTTGCCATTTGCTTGTCTCCAAGAAAATGTGGAATAGTCCTGATTATGGCATTAAAGTTATCAATCTTGCATTTATTTATTTTTTATAGCGTCTCTCTAGGTCTCTCTAGATGTTTAATGCCATTCTGTGGAAAATTTCAAGTAAAGGGATCCATCAGAAAGGTTACACACTGCACCTTTAATCATAACAAAAAAAACAAAAAACAAAAAAATATTGCATACCAAATTAGTACTAGATGTTTTTATGATAAGTACAAGATTTTGTTTACACTTGTGCATAGACCTAATGAAAACTGGGACTAAACCAGGACTAGACCATGAGAAAACCAGGACTAGAACAGGATATATTGCACAGTAAATGTATCAATCTTGCATTTATTCAATCAAATGTGTTTTTATTGCCAAAACATACATTAAATACCTGCATCACCACTCCATAGGTCTGATGAAACCAACTTGTCTCCATGGAGATAGATATTTTATACTGTGGAACATTTCAAGCTAAAGAATGGAGACAAGCTGGTAGAGTGAACTCTTCCAGAAAAGATATATTGTGCCCCTAAGGCTTTGCAAATTAGTGCTGCATAGAAAGTAAACTAAGATTTAATTGTTATACGGTTGTGTAAGCTCCATTCTTTAGCGTCAAATGTTACATAGCATGGCATTCAACAGACCGTTTCCCATGGAGAAACCTTTGCACACACTACATTAAAATTGGGACTAAGTTAGAACTAAGCCAAGTACTAAACCTGGACTAGACTATGAGTAAACCAAAACAAGAACAGGACCAAACCAAGTCTTCGACATCAGACTAAACTGGGATCACACCAGGACAAGCGTGACTCCAACTAACTCAATACTTTTTCCATTTTATAAAACTGTACCCCCGTTATCAAATATATAAGCGCATAATTCAAGGTGTCGCTTGACCCATATCGCCACCAAAGAACGTAGCGTAATGTGTTAGCGCCAGCCCAGTGGTTTAGCAAAATCTTATTCAAAGGATTCACTTCTCGCATCGGTGACATTGGCCCTCGCTGAGATGTAGCGGGGCGTGTGACAAGAGACTAGGGCATCACTCACAAATCAAGCGTTCTGAGCCCTGTCTGCTACAATGGGGGTCCTGCATTTACATTCATATATACAAAAACATCTCGCAAAGGGAAAGATGAAACACGCCAAGGGAGATGACAAGAAGCCTGCATGAAAATAATAAAGGAGAGAAACAGACGGATACTGTTTGGATGCAAGACGGGTGGAATAATATCAGATAGGGACAAAATTGTAGAGTCAATAACGCTCTAATTTTGGAAAAACAAAACAATGTCACGGATGCTTGTTGGTCATAAACTACAGCAAATAACAGCATTTGAATCTCGTCTTCGCACCGAGTTAGGAAATAAGAAAAAAAAATGAAATCAGCCTGCTGCAGAGATTAACATTTAACAAGTATGACTGTCTAACATCACCATCTGGCTAAAGGGAGGACAGCACCTCCTCGACATTCACACATTCTGCGTCAATGATGGCCAAGCTTTTTGATTCACAAAGCAAGCAGGACTTAGTCAGCTAAAGGGAATATATACTGTATAAGGTAATAAATACAAAACAATAATGGGATAGGTAGAAAAGCATGTCCTGACAACTTTCAAATAATGGGGAATGTAACTTTGAAATATTCTAGTTATTTGAGTCTATGGTGCAAAAATGACCCCTGTTTACTCTACAAGACTAAGTATTAACAAAACACGGAATACTATACATATTTGGAGAATTTATTGTTGGATTATTGAAAAATGGTTTATGTTAAATCTTAATCAACTATAAGCTGATAAGGTTGTTTTTTTTGGAAATTGTTGCAGCCATGAATTTGTGAGAACCAAAAGCAAAAGCCTAGAGCAATAGATGTTTATAATGCACGTCTTAAACCCTGAAAAAAGATAAACCGAAGAGTGAAGCTGCCCTCTAGTGGATAAAGTAGGTCATAGCATGTATATTTCTGTCACCATGCAACTTTATATTCTGTTTACATAAAACAAATATGCAAAAAACATACAATTTGAGTACAATTCAGTCAACTATTTCATGTGGATCTGTTGAAAAAATACGTAATAGCAAGCAAGCAATACTACAACTTGAAGAAAATCCCATAATTTCCAACAAAAGATCAAATTTAAATTTAAATTGTATAAACAACATTTGCATTTTGTTTTTCTTGCCTATTATGACCTTGAGGGATAATGAACAGCGATAAAATCTGGTTCACTGAACTTACAAAATGGGCTGATAATAAAGGAATATTTGTCAGAAGTGCCATATCTGTATCTATAATAAATGTAAATGTATTATAATGGCCTTAACTTCTTACCTATGAGTTCTGTGGGATTCTTTTCGATGAAGTGCTCACACAGTCTGATGAACATAGCAGTAGTGTCTTGTGAAGGACATTCTCCATGGCTGAAAGTAAATTACAGAATTGTCCACCACAGTGCATATGGTTAATGAGTTACACAGATCATGTTGCATACCCTTTACACTGGAGTTTCACATATTTTATGCCTTCTTTTTCAATCTCATTGCGGTCATAGAAACGTGTGGTGTTTGTCAAATCCACAAGCAATCCCATTTTCACCTAATAAAAGAAAAAACACCAGTCAGACACATCCTAAAATGAGAATCAGAGGCAAACATTCCAGAATGAGACACTTACATTCATACTCTTTAAGTAGTTGGACAGCATGCCCGGGTGGAACCTGTTCTCTTCAGCAACTTGTTCATCATATCTGGGACCCAACATCGTTTTCATTGGTAGGAATTTTCCTAAGTATTAAATTCAAAGTACAACTTAGAAGTAGTAGTCTTTGTAGTCTTGCAGCAAGGTACATTCAGTGAAGCATATTTACATCCATTATAATATCTACAGCCAATGAACAAGATGTAGGGCAGACTAAAGAAGCATCCTTGCGCGCCATTGCTGCAGCATCACCGTGTACAGTGGTTTGTTTGGACACGTGACCCAGCGGCTGGCACACATGCCTCAAGTTTAATAAAAGAAAAATTAATTAATTAAAGTCAACGAGATCTAAGAGACTAGCCACTGAATGATTACTTTGTCTTTCCTTTGCTCATTAAGCTTGAGCATTATCTGACAGTGGCATTCTGATACAAATCTCATTCATTCCTTCACTAACACATTTGCATTGCACTCTTAACTTTGCCTTAACTTCCTTGCCTCAGTTTATTACAGAAAAATAGTTCCATTTTGTTTTTGCCATGTATATTTTATAAATGCATGGCGCTAGCCAGAAACCATATGTCGACACTGGTGTTGTTTACAAGTGAGTGTAGCCCCACAGCACATGAGAGCTCTGCTCTCCCTTTGCTTTTATTAAAAGACATTTGTTTTCTTCTCACCTGCCACAGGCTGTCCTCTGCGGGGACAGTTCCGCCAACGAGGCGGGGGTCCGTTATGTGACATATTTTAGAGGATCTTGTGCCTTTTGGTCCAAAAACAAGCCAAACCTCGCAGAGCTAGTTAGCTTTAAGCTTACAGCTCCTGCAGGGGGTGTGCAGTGTTCCCGCCCGCACTGAACCCGAGCGCCGTGGATTCAGGGCCCTTTAGCTCCTAGTGCAGGGCAAACATGCAATAACGCAACTCTTATCCTTCTTCTGACCAGCCCCTACACATGTCCGAGCTCAGCAGATTTAAGAAACCACGGCGCAAAGACAGTCAGAAACGATATTTTCTTCTGGTTTGTTTCCTTCTGTAGAACATTAGGATGTTAGCTGCTAGCATCACATTACCACAGGTCCATTCTCGACAGAGCCACACGGGAGCTAACAGAAGCTAACCCCACTAGCCCTCTTCTTCTACAACCACAGGAGTGACACTGAGCCACACTGCCGCCTGCAGGAGAGGGTTCAGGAATGGATTTACAGCTCAACAAAAACATACTGCAAAAAGAGACGTTTTTAATAATCAGGGAACAAGACAAGGGTTTATGCACATGTATTTATATCATATGTACAATGGCAGCAAAGCCAACAAGATATTCCATGCGTGGAGAAAATGTATATTAAAATAAATAAACAGATTATTATGTATACACATATTTACATATATAGGCCAAAAACAATACAAGCAAGATCAATCTATTACTCAATACAGAACGCTACATGCCACACTAATGCTACATATAGGTTTAGTTTTATGTATTGGCCTACAACACGTTTCACCGATGTCAATCAAATATGTCCAATGACACATATGACGGAGTTTTTTCTTGTGGCCCCAGAACGAGTCGTTTGACTTTTTTACTGTTGTGTGGTACAGGGCTGTTGTCTGCAATCTGACGTCTGTATGGGTTAAACTGGCTGTTCTCTACAGTCAGCAGAGATACAGAATCTCTGCTGAAGCACTGTTGTGGTGTTCTTGAAGATAAAAATGGCCTCTCATAGTTTTGAAAAGATGTTGTAGTTTGCTCTTTTTGTTCACTAGTGACTGGAGACTTGCTGTAAGTAGTTGATGAAGTTTGTTGCATTTCCTCTGTATAGACACGTTCACATTGGCTTTCTGATGGGGTAGTGAAAGGTTGATGGTGAAAGGGAATGAGTGTCTGAAAAACAAAACAAATTTATTCAAAAGTGGCAATTTTTTCCATGTGAGCGGCTTATGTGAGTATCCTTCATTAATGTGCAATATTTAACTAATGAGTAGCTACAATGTAAAAAAAAAAAAAAACACCATTAATGATGAATTAAATAAAAATAAAATATATAATCACACACACAGTACTAACGACAACATTCAGTCTTGCATTCATTACAAACATTTGACTCAATTTGCTGTTAAACAAGTTTGTGGATGGAAAAAATAAAAAATAAGATACTAAAAATTTACCTTTGAATGTGTGCTTTGTGGCCACAGAGCCAAAGAGCTGAGACCAGGGTTTGGAACAGGCCTTTCATTGAATTTCCTACAGTGGAACAAATAAGAAAATGAGAAAATTTTAAAAAAAGTTCCAACAAATCCAAATATTATCCATATTATAATAAAAATATATAACTTACTGAACTGCACGCAAAAAAACTATAAACAGTACAAGTAGTATGCCCCCAGTGATGCTAATAACGGTGATAAGCTGAGGGTCTAGAAGAAGTTGAATTTATTTAATTTCATAAAAGACACAATTTTCATAATGTCTGGAATACACTAAAAACTTACCAAATATTTTTGTCTTAAAAAGTCGTTCACTGCTCTCAGAATTCCCACTACGAGCCGTGGCCACAACATGGACACTGTATTGAGTGTTTGGATTCAAGTTCTTCAAATAAAAATCCTGCACTGTATTTTTTACAGTTACATCTAGAACAGAAAAAGCATTATTATTCCTAAAAACATATCTTTTTTTGCAGTTTAATTTTATTTCTGTTTAATAATTACTTAATTGTGGTCCATTCAGTGTCCCATAGAAGATAGTGTAATTCACCACAGCATCACTGCATTTTTCCTGGGATTTCACACTCCATCTTATATGGGCCCTTTTGTTATATGCCTCCAGATTTACAATAGTCACATTTCCAGGATCTAGATACACATAACATTTAATAAAAGTTGTATTAGTGAAGAAGTACATAATTTATTAATACTGATGTAATATAGAAAACTGAGTACCTGTAAAGCCTGAACAAACTCCAGAGGTCTGTGTGGAGGGTCCTGCCCGGCCACCAAACAATGGAGTTACTGTAATGTTGTACGGCTTCTTATCTATAAGGCCTGCTAACCACAGAAAGCTGTTAGGAAGCAATCAAGCTCTTTACAACAATGATCATACAGTAGATTTGCATGTAATACTAGCTACAGTTTATATGCAATTAAAAGCCGGGCCTAATGGGACTCTCTTAGCGGTAAAAGCATTAACTGGAATCAAGAGAAGACGATAAGGAAAAAACAAAACATTGAGATGTAAGTGTATGTACTTTTTATTTTCCCTGTATTTTTTCTTGTGAAGATTATTCATTTTCAAGTACAATATACTCCAGATAAAATGTAAGACTACAAGTAGCCCTTTAGATACTACACTTGTTACTACTCTTAAACTACTTAAGGATGGCAGCAACTGTTTAAAGTGCACAACCAAATCACAACAACAACCACTGTCATCGTGTTCTTGGGCAAGATGCTTTTCTTTGCATGTATGTGGATGGTAAGCCATTGATGGTGATTTGAAAGGCTGATAAAGTGACAAATATTATGTATTTTATGGATTGTTTTCATATTAGACTGTGGTGACGTCATAGCCAGATTCATCAGCCGGTTTCACTTCGTAGACACTGTCTGACCTCGCAGTGTTAGAATTCGTTCGCTTCACGGTAGGCGGGTACTTTTTATCATTTAACCAATCACTGCTATTTGGTAGTCACGTATGTACTGCGCCACTAACAGGGCTAACTGGTATATTAAGCTTTTCCCAAATCCCGGTAGAAGAAGGGCAATAACGTCTTTCCCCTTGATAAAATTCACCAAACATTCTCTTTGTTCAGGCTTTAAATCTTTGATCTCGGGACTCGTTGACAACACTGAATATATAGCTCTTTGCTGATTGGCTGGTGCCCGAACTCGCACTTCCGGGGTTTTTGCGAACCGTTTTTTGTATTTTGATTCCTGACCTAGTTGCTGGAGAGAAATGAAATTGAGCAGAGGCACTAGGTGGCACCAGCCTGGCTAGTGATGTCATACTTTCAGATGGTATTACTACTGAGTGATAGTGAGTGACTCCCTGGAATTCTCACCGTGTAATGTTGTATGGGTGGATGTAGTCCTCTTCCACTCAAAGTCATTTCCATTGTAAGTCCAGTCAATAACATAACCACTGACAGGTTGTGAGGGAGCAGTCCAGGCAACCACAAGACCATTTTCCTCTAGCTTGGTTTCAATACTGTTAACACGGAAGAGCTCTACCAAGAATAAAACGTTAGTAAGAAGCTGCAGTACCGTAAAATAATATGAAATACACACATGAGCAGTATTGCGCGAATATCTAAATCAATAGCACTTACTGACTGACTCATTTTCAACGAAAGATGTGAGATAGAACGAAGCCTCTGCCAGAAAGTCTCCATCATAGATAACAGTTAGTTTGATGCTCTGTGCTTCTGGGTTGACGGTAATTTCACATGAGCTATTTGCACATGAAGTCCTGGTGTAATTTGTTTTGGAAGTGATTTCATAGGAGGGAGAGTGGCTGACATTGTAGCTCAATGTGCCTGGGCAATTTGAAGGTATTCCCTGTGAAGATAGAAACACACGTTTAAAGGCTGAACTATGTATGCTTTTCTGGTGGTTTCTTCTGCATGGAGATGTTACTGATTTTCCTAGAATGTTGTCTTATCTTATGATGTCTCTAGGCCAAGTTACAGGTCTGATACGTGGAGAGGCGAGCCCACACACAACATGAATGTATTTGTATATGGTATTTTTAACAAGATTAAAACTATATTACAATGAATGCAATAAAGACAAAATGAATGCCTGCTGGGTAAAGCTATAACGTGACATCACCATGGAAACAAGAATATATATATATATATATATATTACTTTAGGGCACATGTTACCTTCCACATGATATGAACGTTTTTTTCTTCATGCAGCGTTGACACTTTTCTCCACACATCCAGCTTGACATCGCTCTCTAAAAAGTACAGAATAGCATGTGATTCAATAGAATAAAGCATTTTAAAGGGCCTATATATGTTATAATTAGTGCTGTCATGCGATTAAAAAAATTTAGAGATTAATTAATTATGATCTGTAATTAATTAATCTAATTAATCTCATTTTAATCTCACCTAAAAATTGCTGAGAAAAGCCTTCAATTTGAGGTATTTTCATTTAAATTCATTATTACATTATTGTGGCAGATCAAAAGACTAATATAGATTTAAAAAAGTGACTTTATAAAGTCATTTATTGTTTAACAAATCTCTCCAATTTGGCTGTTGAGCCCAAGTCTCCATGAATAAGAAACTGTTTGTTGTAAAGTAGCAAAGACGAGGAAATCTGAACATAATAACTTTTGTGTACTTAAAGACAATAAAAAGTCCAGTCTTTCCTTAACCATATAAAAATATTATTGATAGAGAAATATATATGAGATCACTGGTTTTAGTCCTGGTTTAGACCTGGTTTAGACCTACTTTAGTCCTAGTTTAGTCCTGGAATGGATTAATCCTGGTTTTAGTCCTGGTGTTAGTTCTGGTTTAGTCCTGGTTTAGACCTGGTTTAGTCCTGGTGTTAGTCCTGGTTTAGACCTGGTTTAGACCTGGTTTAGACCTGGTTTAGTCCTGGTTTAGACCTGGTTTTAGTTCTGGTTTTAGTTCTGGTTTTAGTTCTGGTTTAGTCCTGGTTTAGACCTGGTTTAGACCTGGTTTTAGTTCTGGTTTTAGTTCTGGTTTAGTCCTGGTTTAGTCCTGGTTTAGACCTGGTTTAGTCCTGGTTTTAGTCTTGGTGTTAGTTCTGGTTTAGAGGCGCACAGGAGGAAGCGCGGTTTACGCCGCGTACGCGAGAAAACACTATCCACACGCGGCTCACGGGAGGACAGCGGTGTTCGCACAGTGTCTACGGAAGAAAACGTGGTCCGCGCGTTCTCAGGTTAATGACGATGATGAAGGTGTGTTTGTTTGTGTGTGTTTGTGTGCGTGTCCCCTCATGTGCAGGTTGTTTTCAGGCGATATTATATTTGTTATTTTCTTTTATATTTCACGTCGGGAGAATAATTTCCAAGACACGAATGTGTTTTTACCTGTGCGCTGCTGCCTCTGTTCTACTGGCTCTTCGACCTCGTCCATTGTGCGACTGATGCCGCCAACGTTAACATGACGCTCACATCGCTGTTACTGCGCGCGTTTTGTGTGGCTTTCCGGCAATGAGTGGAATTACCGAAATAAAAAAATGTATAAATGTGTTTTGTGTGTGTGTGTGTGTGTGTGTGTGTGTTGTTGTCCCAACAACACATAAAAACAGGTTTTATAATAAAGAAACTCACATACAGAAACACTAAAGTTAGAGATTAAAAATTAGATTAACGCGATTAAAAAACATAACGCGCTAAATATGACTGTAATTAATTAATCGCAATTAACGCGATAATTTGACACCCCTAGTTATAATGTTGTTTTCTCATCATCACACATGTTTAACTCACAAAACTTGCATATTTAACTCTCAATTCCACCTTGGGATGTCATGTGGCAATACAGGAAGTGCTCCACTGTGTTTTTGAACTCCATACACCTTCACTAGAATCATCTGAATAATTTCAGCCTTAGAATCATCTCTACTGAACAAAAGGTAAAATGTAGCCGTTAACCTGAATGCTACCTTCATGACATCACAAGGAAGAGTAGAGCATTTTAAGATTTGACTATGTAGACAGACTAATAATGCAGGATTACGGTACTTAAACACAACTCCAGGTATGTTTTTGAGGGGTTAACAACATTATAACATGACTAAAAGCTCACAAGAGTCAATTTTCCATAATATAGGACCTTTAATGAAGAAAGACTATATTTATAATGAGCAGTTCATTCCTTTCATAATGAAAAGTTTTTTAAAATTATTCAGTAACAACTTAGTTAACCTAACCTTAACCACTTAATGCTTGAATTAAGGTGTAGTTATAAAGTCTTATCAAATATATACATTCATTAATCTATATTATATGGTCATATGTGATCATTGCCACTATTCTCAGGAGCCACCTCACTTTTGAGTTGTGTTAGGATTGGCCTCTCCGGGCTCCAGTAGCTCCACGGGGCCTGGTCCAAAGCACAGCGAACAGAAACATTGTAGGTTTGACAGGACTCCACTTTATCGATAGTCATCTTTCCTCTTACATCAGGACGCAAAGTTATGTTCAACACCTCCTGGGATAATACAAGTACAAAGATCAATAAATCACAAATCACAGAAAGAGAGAGAAAATTGACACAATCTTTACCTGGATTACTTCTTCATTCTTGAGTAGAGTAGCAAGGTATTATAATAAACAGAAGCATAAATTAGCAGATTAAAAACATATGTATGTGTTGTCTCTGCACTAAATCATAATAGTAATACATATTTTTCTGATTTTTGTTTTCAAATATATATATCTGTTATTGATTTTTCTATGTAGCAATAATTGTCTTACTTTTGATTTCATTTTAATTCATTATTTTTCAAAATAAAAACAATACTAACAAAACTATATATAGCACATAAAAAATAATAAGTACTTAGATAAAATACTAGTATAATTTCTGACTATAACATTTAAAGAATAATACAATACTCACCTTTGTGTACTTGTATTTCACTTGACATCTACCATGGACCCCCAAGTTTGGCATACTGTTCCACTCCACCAATATATGATCCAAACGTGCAGTGAGATTGATTTTACGAGGGAGAATTTTGACTATAAAATATGAAAGACAACATTATATAAAACAAAAACTATTAATAAAAAAATATCTCTATTGAAAGTCTTCTTGTTTTGTTACTTACATATTTGTGAAGCTCTAAACGTATAATAGCCAGACTGTGCTTCCCAGGCTTCTGTTTTGGCCTTTACATAAATGGTGTTTTGTTGGGGAAACGAAATCTCAGGTACATCTCGTGTATTTCTGGTGCAGGTCGTTGCATTTGAGATGCAAATTTCTTTCGAACCACTAGCACAATGCAAATTGAAATAGATGCTTTAACTTAGAAAGACAGATTAGATACTGATAATGCATAAATAATTCAAAATTCTCTGACCTTATTACAGAGTATTTAATTTTCAGTGGTGTATGAATATGATGCTCCCAGTTGCATGTGAACAGCTCCGGTAAAATCTCTTTCCAATTATGGTTTGAATGGAAAATGCAAGACAAGTTGTGAGGTTTTGCTGGAAAAACAAAACACCATCACACTTATATAATCTGAATATTTTGTACAAATCTGGAAAAAACACCATTTGACTTTTTCATTGTGTAAATCCAATAAATGTAAATGCTACACAATAAATTTACACAACTTTATGGGAGAGTCACTGTTTTTGATAGAAATATTCAAACCACATGCTGAATCTGATTATTTGTTAGGGATTGGGCCCTCTAATTCCCATTAAACACCTTTGCTGAACAAATAATTACACTTTTGTTTATTTATGCTCTCAGAAAAGACAGTGAACTTGTGAACATGACAGTGAACTAGTGAACATGAACCATATTTTCATGTAAATAGGTCCAAGAAATTACAGAGATATTAACCATAAACCAGATCAACAAATCTGCAATCTGTACAGTTAATGTATCTGCAACAATAGGGATTCTATAATTATTCTATATTGTTATGTTATATGGTCAATCAACCTATCCATCAGCCCAGAATGATGACAAATTAGAGATTAAAAATTCAAAACTAAATGTTGACTCTTCTGAATACAGCAAAAATCTCACAATGTTGCTTCTAACAGTAAGCTGAAACCCATGAACTGCTCTTACTGTATATTCGGATTGTGGTCCCTCCTAGGATCTGGAGGTTCTCTTCACTGTGGCACTGGACAGTCGACGTGGGGTGGTCGGGGTCCTGGAGCTCTGAATGGGGCAGCAGGATGACTGTGTGTGTGGAGTTGATCATATGTGATAGACTCTCATTCAGGCGTCTGTTATTGAGGGTCCAGAAAACTGTTCCCGAAATGCAGGCACTCACACAGGTTATCTCAGCGCTAGCACCCTCCTTGATGTGCTGGTCTTTAGAGAAAACGCCACAGCTCCTGTCACTCCAACCTAAACAAACAAATACATAATTAGAATAATAAATTGTACTTTTTTGTTATGTCATAGTGATAATAAAAAGACACTATAAACATTAGTGAATTACCTTCAGGTGTAAAATGTATCTTGCATCATTATTAAATACCTGCTAGTGGGAATAAAGCTTTAAAACTGTTGAGTGACTCAAAAAAAAAATTAAGCTTAAGATTTTTTTGCCTAATTCACTCTTTGTGGGAGCGGGGCTTTAGGGATGCATTCCTGAGATTTCAACTAACAATACAAAGTGCACTATGCATTTTTTTTGGTAAGGGTCAACCACCTGCTTGTTGATGTTATGTTGCATTGCCTGGAATGTCCCACAGTATAACATTAAACATACTGTATCTTGTATTTATTCAGTAGCAAGTGTTTTTATTTCTAAAATAAACCCTGAAAAGCATGCATTATTACTGTGAGATCTGTGCCTACATTGACATCATACAGTATAATTTAATTTTGGCATTCTGTGGAACACAAGGGGAAGCATAAAACTTAATCTCCACGGAGACAAGTGACAGCGGTGTCCGCTCCACCAAAAAAGTGTCATAGTGAAGTGAGCTTAAACATTTGAACATTAATACAAAAATGTTTCATAAACTGTTGTTGATAAGACCCAACATATCAACAAAGTTAGATTCTGAATCAAAACAAAACAAAAAAATAATATATTGAACTTTGGTACTGCATTTTTAAACATACACTAAAACAAAGTGAAAGATAGAGGAACAAAAGAAAAACTGAAAGAAAGAAGAAAAGAGACGAAATCTCTAGGCTGTAGTAACAATTCAACAATACAATCTGTCAAATCTGTCAAAGCAACATTAGTAAAAGTTGTAATAATAATAATAGATATACTTACCACTGCATTTCGTAGAGAGCAAAGCGATGACAAAACTGATTATGAATAAATACATAGTGGAATCCAGTGTGTCTAATCCAGCAGGACATCACATCTGAATGATAGAGTGAGCTGTCCGGAGAGGCACACCAACAATCTTAGGCTAGCCATTTGTTTCTAATGTTGCTCCCGGTATCTCAGTCATCTTATGTAACAGGAACTTGAGTATAGCCTGAAATAAACGGGAGACATTACCCAAGAAACAACCGCGGAAAAGAGGAAGTCATGGTCATGCTTCAACGCTGCAAATCAATCACAACTGAGGGAGGTAACGAGAGAGATAATACGCACTATGGAGAGTTATAGTATGTTAAGTATGCAGGAGCAGTAAAGAGTCAAAAACAATACGTGTGAAGATTCAGGCATTAAATAAAAAAAAGTTAAGATTACTTTATGTACCTTTGGATTGGAGTCAAATCATGCGCGTCCTCTACTGGAATATTTACTTATTACAATGCGTTAATAATAAGAGACTAATAAAAGCGTAGTCTAAAACAGCGATTATTTGTTGTTAAAATATTTGAAACTGAAATTGTATTAATTTGTTTAGTTAGTTAGTTCATCGTTTCACGTGTAAAAAATAAATAAATAAAATAAAATAAAAATACAGGTGACGTAATGACGCTGCTTAGCTTTCACGTAGCAACAAGTGCGAGTCCCTAGCAACGAAAACTTTGGATGTTTTCACACTTTGCACGGTTTTAATTACCGACACAAACAATTAAAAGTTATACTGTACACTATTAACTAAAATGGCGGATATAAAGCCAAAGAGTAAACGAGTATTTGTGAATGATGTTGACGTCTTCTCTTCAAAAAACATCGCTAAGGTAAATAAGCAAACTCTAAAAACATGTTGCGCTAGTTAGCATTAGCGTAATTTCCGAATGATACGTTTGCCACTAGTTTTCTGTGAGTTTCATTTACGTATATTTATTTGTCAAGTTGATATCTGTTATACATTTGAGGCATTTGACCTTTTGTTGATTTCACAGTTTTTGTCCACATGCTTGATTGAAGAAGATGAGGAGGGAGAAGAACGCTCTACACCCAAAGGTGAACCTGCTTTTCAGGTCGTGGGGACAGTGTCATCCTCACCTAAACATGAAAGACATAGTTGTGTGACTGAATACTATCTGGTAAGTCAAATCTTGCTAATGTATTTGGTTTCGTTTGGCTGTAATTATTATCAATGTTTGTTTTGAATTTATTGTTTTATATTATTAACAACCATGTTTAAAATGTCTTCACAGTCACCAACTCGTGAGAAACTCCTGGGTCACCTCCTTGAGTGTGATGTCATTCTGTACAATATTTCCGAAAATTCCACACAACAAATTATTGATGAAGCTACATGGGCCGTAACAAGTAAATTCACAGTTTATTTTAAGTTCACTATGTAACTTTTGTTGTGGTGGAGTATCCGGCTCCTATTTGTCTCCATGGAGATATTATCATCAGATGTTGTCAGTAATGTTCCACACTATGGCAAAATTAAAAAAAAACATATCTATCTTGAATTTATACAATCATGGGTGTTATTTATCGCTAAAAAAAAATGAATGCCATTCCGTGGAACATTCTTTAGTCAAAGCAAGAACTTTTTTAGTTCTTTTCTTCTGACATAATATTAACATAAATAATAAAATCAAGGACTCTTTGTTGCCATGCTGGGTCTTCTCAACAACAGCTAATCAAAAAAGCATTACTCTTGATATTGTACATTGGCATTACATTGCCAAATAAACAACTAATCAGAATGATGTGAGAGAAAGATACTTTATTGATAAAAAGAGGAACAAAGAAAATAAAACAAATAGCAAAACAGACAATTTTGTTACTCATTTTGTACAATAATAACCAACTAAAACCACTAACTTCAAAATGTTTTTACAAACAGCTCTTCATGAAGAAATGGAGAACTTCAAGTCCAGGAAAATGTTCATGCTAATCTCTTCAGTGATGACATGGGCCATGACTAAGCCACAGAATCCCGTAAATGCTTCTATTATCTAATGGTACTCCTAACACAGAATGCAGCTTACTTACTCCTTTTCTGTTTAAGGATGAAGCAGACATTCCAGTATTAGAGGAGGAGTTCAGAAGAAGGCGACCACATCCCGCTTTCAGAGCGCTCTATGAACTGGAGAAACTGGTGTTGAAGCTTGGTCGAGTTGTGGGTACACATCATTAAAGTGGGATTAAACTATACCCACAGCCATATATTTCAGATAGAGTCAATAAAGTAAAAAGTGCCTAGAGGACTAAAGAAAAAACATAAAAGTGGGGAGGAGATGATGAGGTGGGTTCAAGTACAGTCTTCATTTAGTTGAAGACTTGTTTAGAATATTTTCATTCATTTCATTTGTAGATTTAGTCCCTAAATTAGCACAACCTTCATAAAAACTAAAAATTATTTTAATTAACTAAACTAACTAACAAAAAATAACTAAATGAAAGTGAAAACAAAATCAGAACAGTGGAGCGTGAAGTCAGGAATTTTCTTGCCCACAAGCTTGAATTTCAATTTCAGTCTGAAAACTTGCATCAGTTAACATATTACAACAACAATCCTATATTAAAACAACATGTACACAGCATAATAATGTTGATTTTGTGTTTTTTTTTGGGCTAAAAAAATTATGAATTATATGTCTGTTTCAGAAAAAGACCAGACTTCCAGCATATGTGGTTTCTAGTGGTCTTCAATATGGAAAAGGAGAAAATCTCTTTCATTATTTTTTTAAGGTAAGCTAGAAATGTGTGCACAATTATAATATACTATATGTATTTATAGTATATTTTTTCTGTCAGGTTTCTTGGTTGATGCAAAGTCTGGATGTCCCCATGTTTGGCCTGGGAACAAACTACTTACCTATGATTCACATAAATGACCTTGGAGGGTAAGAGTAGTTCAGAGACTACTTAAAGGTACTTGAACTATATGGGTGAAAAATCTCAATTTGCTTATTTGTTAGAGTGATACAGAGCATAATCCAGAACAAACCAAAGGCAAAGTACATCCTTGCTGTTGATGACTCTAAAAACACATTGGAGGAAATTGTTCAGGCAAGTCTGACTTCACAATTCAGTTTTATTGTAAAGAAAAATGTTGTGATTTTTTTTTTCTTTAGGCAATCAGTACTGCACTTGGCCCTGGAAAAATCAAGCAATTCACAGAGCAAGAAGCAATTTCTATGAAGGCATTTCAGGTAAGCGGAAACTATACATTGAGTTGGTTCAGGAAGGGCTTGATTTTATTTGATTTTCTAATTTGATCATGTCATAATCTCTGACAGTGGACAAGGGCCTATATAACTGTATGGGAGATTCACTGTTTTTAAAAGAAATGGAAATCCACCAACATTGAACCTTATTATTATTTGTTAGGGATTGGCTCCACAAACTCTCCATTATACTCTGATGATTTTAAGTCCTTTCAGCTGACAACAGTTGTGTCTTTGGCATTGAATAATGGTATCACTTTCTGGGGCTATTGTGAAAAAAAAAATTCACTTCTGTTTATTTAAACTAATAGAAACAACACTGAAATTTAAGTCAGTTTTTGTTTCATGGAAGTAACTACAGAGATATTAACCATAAACCAGGTCAACAAATCTGCAGTCTGACAGTTAAACTGCAGGTCTTTTAGTTTTTATGTAATTAAACACTGCATTTTATATCATTTAGCCAAAACAGCTGGATTACCTGAAAATCAACCTTTCCCTGGAAGCAGCCTTAATAAAAGAGTTAAATAACCAATGGACCTCTGAAAGTGGGATGGTGGAAAACATAGACAATATTGTGGAAGAATACAAAGTGACCAGAAACCTCCTTGTAAGTTTTAATTCAAACGTGTTATGGCAGTTAGATCACGGTATTTGTTAATCCTGGTATATGTATTTTATTTTTATTTCTACAGCCAGTTAAAATCTTCATGGTTGGGCCTCCTGCAGTGGGCAAGACAACAATTTCTAAGAAGCTATGTGGCTATTACAGGCTCCATCACATAAAGATTAAAGACGTCATTGAAGAAAAAATTAAGGAATCGGTCAGTTGCTATACATAAAAACTGTTAATTATTTTAAGTTAATTTGCTGAAGTACTTTTTTCTCACTACAGGAGGAGCCAGAGAGTCAAGATGCTACAGATCCTATACAAGAAGAGCTGAGAAAAATCCTAAAAAACTTGGAGGAAGATGGAAGTCTCACAGCTGATGCGAAATTACTGAATATTGTCAAGGAAAAACTCAGTTCCAAGCCATGTTTAAATCAAGGCTTTGTTCTGGATGGTTTTCCCCACACGTATGAACAGGCACAGGCACTCTTCTTTGGTGGGTAATGAACAAAAATAACATATCTTGGTATATATTCTATTACTTTTTGGGAGGCTTCACGCATGGTGAAATAAAGACACAATGAAAGTTGCTATTACATTAAGGTTAATTGACAGTGTTAATTATTAGATTTGTCATTTAAAACTGACTGGAGCAACAATTATACAAAGCATCACATGCCCAAAACCTAAGTTACTTCAAATTGATAGGTAAGCTAATAACTGTTGATTGCTTAATTGACTTATTTAACGTTCTGGACGTGGCAAGTCTCCTGCATGATTCCATGGAAATAGAAAGTGAATATCATACTTTGGAACATTCTACGTGGAGATAAATGAGTTTTATGCCATACTGTGGAAGATTATAGCCAAAAGGAACAAGATTTCCATGGAAACAAGCAGGAGGACGCCCTCTCCAAAGAGTCAGGTTTGTGGAAATGCAAGCCCACACAGAGTAAAGACTCATGCTTTTGAGTACAATAAACACAACCATAATGAAAAATGTACTGGCTTACTGGGGCTTTCATTCGGTAAAATCTATGTCTGCTATTTATTTTTTATATGGATTATTTAGATACTTTTTTAATAGAACACATTTTTATTCTTTTCTTTATCTATCTATGTATTGTTTAGATGCAAATGCAGAAACTCAGGAGTCCACTGAGGCAGCATACAACAAGAAGATCACACCAGGTCACATATTAAGAAGAAGCACCATTCCAACATGTCCATTTGAAACATTGTAACAATCGTCTTTCCATCCATTTTGCAGACAACATATTTGTACTGAATGCCTCCGATGAGTTCCTGATAGAAAGAGCCCAAGCCCTCCCACAGAGTGAAGCAGAGAAGATGCACTACACACAGGAGGCCTTCCTCTCCAGGCTGAAGGGGTACAGAAAGCGCTGTGCTGCTGATGAAACACTACTGGATTACTTTGAAGAACTGGAGATTTACCCTGAAGAAATTGGTATGTACTCTTTCAATTCTAGTTATTCTGTGTACCAGCATGTTCAGGCAAATAACTTGCAACAAAAAATAAATGTTGTGTAGAGACCATGATTGAAATACAAATCTGGTCTTATGGCATTATTAGTAGGACAAGAACTACAATGAAAAATGGATGAGAGAGCAAGAAGAAACATTCGGCAAGCCATAAAACAAAGCCAAAATCACAACTGTGTCTTAAAAGAAGATTTTTATTTCAACATGCCCTAACTGTGTCCCCAAATATGAAGTAGATATGTTCAAATCCAACAAAGCTCCAACTGATAACAATTGTAATGCTGATTTATTCTAAATTACAAAAACATTGGACAAGTTATTTATGTAATAATTTGGTGTTTTGGTTCTCCAGTCAGAAAGCAGAATGATCCTCCGACGAGATCATTTGTGTTGAGAGTTTCAAGGCTTGAATCCTGTTGGTTTAAATTTTAAAAAGCGCTCTTTCATCATCTGTTCATATACTGAGAATGAGGAAACCTTGTATGTGTCCTCAGTCTGCAGGTTAAGGCTCTGGCAACACAGATTCATTCAGATGTATTTGTACTTCGATTTTTATCTGTAAGGTCACAGGCTACATACTGTTCCTTTAACTGAAGAAACTGTACAAAATTATGAAGTTTTAGTTTTAGATTATTGCTGTTTAAGTCCAAATTCAGTATGAGATAGTCCTTGGTTATAGGTTTTTATGCTAAATATTCTAATCCATTTCCTAGGATCACTGTTTTTCTCACAACCCTTTACTTTTGTAGATGTGAATGTGGATGATCTGGAGTACACAGCTGCTTTGAAGAAGATCACTGGGATGGTGGGAGAGCCTAAGAACTACGGTCCGAGCCCTGAGGAGCAGGAGGCCCAGAGGCTCAGACAGGAGGAGGAGAGGAGGGAGAGACTTGCCTCTCAGGCTGCAGAGAGGAAACGCAGGAACCAAGCCACACTGGCAGAGATGGCAGCACACTATCAGGAGTGGGTAAGAACAGGGACAATGGGGTGATGAGGCCTGTTTTTTTTTTTTATAGCAATGCAGACACACACACAGGTTTTCCTTTAATATGAAAATCGAACATTAAAGTGGATTCATTTAACAGCTCTGTATGATACCAGAGTTTTATTGTCTTAAAAACATGAAAAGAACTAGATCATTTTAAATAATTTGCAGTGTTCCAGAGTTTATATTTACCTTATACAGAGGTCAGAGCAGAGTTTTACCATCACACTAATGCACAATGAATTATTAACATGCTACCTGTGCACTTCCTAATTCACTGATATAATGTGCTTTATAATTAAATGCAGACAGCAAACAGAGGTCTCATTTTGACCTTGAGATCTGCTTATACAATATACAGTATTTGTATCTTGCCATCTGTTGTGCCAGACAATTATTGCCCAAATAGATGGGGGAAAAAATCTATTTTTTTCAACCAGAAACACAAAGTTACATAGTACATACATAGTAAAACACTATGTAACATTTTCTGCTTGTCTTCCTGGAGATTGTATTGCTTTGTATATCCACAATGTTCCACAGTATGACTTTAAGCTCACATTTATTCTATCACTGTTTGTATGTTTTTATTGCTCAAATATACATTGAAAAACATGCATTCTTACTGTGAGCAGGTCATCTCTCTGTACATCTAACCTGTAACTTGGCTTTGTGATATCACCTGCATGTCTTCATCCACCAGAAGTGACATAATTTACCTTTTAATTACTGTTGTTAACATTTGAATTAAAAATTGCTTGCAATGACAAAACCAACACCCTGCACTCTGTATAAAGTAAATATATTGGACCAAAAAATTACTAATAATAAGTAATGAATTTTACCTCTAACTATAAACCAAATATATAGAATACTGCAAATCATTTTTACTGTATGTTGCTGTGTTTGGTTTATTCAGAAGAAGAACCTGTTAGAGCTGCAGCGACAGGAGCAGGAGCGACAGTCTGCCCAGTCTCTGCCTCTGAGAGTTTACCTGATGAAGTACGTGATGCCCTCTTTGTCTGAGGCCATGCTCGAATGCTCCAAGGTCCGGCCAGAAGACCCTGTGGACTTCCTGGTAACTATCTCAGTTACTATAAAAGTTTTTTATTATTTTTATTACATTTGCTTTTTCAGATCAAACATAATATAGGCTCTTTTTACAGGCTGAATATCTCCTAAGGAACAGCATCGAGAACACACAAGAGGATTAGGCTATTTTTGATTGTATTTATTTATTAACAGCCCTGCAAAAAACTTGTAAGTATTATTTTGAAATATTTAAAAGAACACTATGCAAAATAACTTAAGATTTTCGTGAAAAGCAATGTCCCTTTAAGCCACAAGATGGGGTAAACTCCATGTGCAATGGGTTCAAAGGCCAAGTCCACTCCTGCTTCGGTCAAATGTTTTGTACTACATTTTAAAATACTGCAAAATACATACCATTCAGTGTAATATAAACATTTGCTCAGCTGACAGTAAATGTTTGGTCAGCTGATTTATTTGGGGCTGAGTAGTTGTGTGTTGTTACGTGAGAGAGAATTGTTTAACTGAACAAATCTTGTCAGGACCTGTTGTAATTCCAACCAAACCAAATCTCTGTGGTCAGATTTGAGTAACAGAGCTTCAGACAGAGCAGTGCCTCTAGTTATCTTCACCCACCCTGAGAATGCTGATGACGTCTGCTGCAAAGTATCAATTACAGTACGTAATGTATTAAAACAACCCATATTAATTGAACATTGGTGAGATTTATGAGTGAGAACATGCAGTAAAAATAAAAGTTCTTATTTTGATAATTATGTAATTTCCTTTGACGTGACAACATCATAATACATTTCTCCTTGGGTACATATATATATGCTCGTTATAACACTGTCGACAGCCCGGCCCACTCCCTTTGAAGAGGCTCTATAAACACCAGTGTTAGTGTGAAATGGACCGGTGCAGGCGGCTCTACATTAGCTAACAGTGTGAACTTGGCAGTACTCCGAACATGGTGCGGATGTGTTCTAAATAGCACTTAGCCTGGACTGGAAACATGAGTCACCGATCCCAGATGGTGCACACGCCGGTGACATCACAAACTCTCACCTGCCACAAGGCATGATGGGAACACATGCACCTTACCGGATTAATACTGTGATGCTAATACAGTAAGCCCACCAAATTACAAACAGATTTACAGTCTGGCTACCACACTATGCTAACCACTGACAATTTAAGATGTAATTTAAACCCACTGTATGTAACTTTAGACTATTTGGTTGTTTTTATTGCGCTAAAAACAAAACATAAAAATATTCATGCTTACTGTGAGTGGGCTTGCATTTTCACTACCTTGACTCCTCCTGCTTGTTTCCATGGAAATGTTGTTCCTTCGGTGATATTATTCCACAGTATGGCATAAACTCCTGAAAGTTATATACTGTACCTTTAATTGAAATCTAAATGTTGGGGGAAATTAGTCAAATATACAATAATAATAATATTCATGTGTTTCGGCTCCCTGTTACATGCAACATTTTGAGGACTTTATTTCTGTTCAAAAGATAAAATATTGACTTTTAAATTGGTTATTGTTGTGAAAATGGTCCGGGCTATCAGTTGTACAATCACTCTGGGGTCCAAGCCTTAAATTCCTGTTAAATACAACACCATAACTTCCAAAAACAGCAAATAGTTTCCTATTAAGTCACTTCTTCCACAACCAATATTTATATAAAAATCTGTTTGGGGAATTAACAAAATCATCATTGTGAAATTTAGTTAGACTGTGTCAATTTTGATAGATAATCTGTTGAAAACATATTACTTCTCTCATCCAGGTAAGTCAATAAACATAAGACTATTAGGAAAAATCTCCTTCAGCACCGGTAAAAGCACAGGTCAAAGTCAGGTGGACCAAGATGGCCGCTGTACAGTGGAAAACCTCTATAAAACATGTCTCCTTTAATGCCAGCTGCCAGAAATAATGTGAAGAATGGAAGGCCTTCACCTGAACAAGCAAAAAGGAAATGTTTTACTGTGTGGTGAGAGGCGGAGGCTCTAACCATCTCAAGTACATTTATGGTGGAAATATAGTCGTCAAAGCGTTTGGACAGCTTTTACTATTCAAAAACATGCAGTAATTCAGCTTACTGTACTACAATGTTGCTTCAAGTATATGCTTTAAGGAAGAGGTAGACATTTGCATAGTTTTGACTCTGTGCTCAGATTAATGTCTAACTTCAGTAACAGAGCTTCAGACAGAGCAGTGTCTCAAGTTAGCTTTACTCCCTCAAGCAACATTGATCACTTACAGTATCAATTGCCGTCCCTATCTTGCAACGGGACATACTAGTTATCTGTAAAAGTTGTATTTGGTCTCATATCTCTGTGTCGTATTTGAAGGCATGACTTCTCTAAATTTTATTACATTTAAAGTTCAAAATCATAAATACAATTCCTTTAAAGATAAGAATGCATGGAAAAGACAGAAAATAGCATGCATTCTTATCTTTAAAGGAAAATTATAAACTTTAGAGAAATCATGTCTTCAGATACAACAGAGATATGAGACCAAATACAACTTTTACAGATAACCCTAATGCTGATTTATTCTTAATTATTCTTAAATGTTTTGGTTCTCAAGATTCTGAATAACCCAATCAGAAAGCAGGAATCATTTCAATGCTGAAATCCAGTTGGTTTAAACCTAAAAGACTCACTACTTAAACCTCAGCACCTGCAGTCAACCATTACTCGGTGCTAGTGCGGCCTCTGTAGTTCTGTCCATACCTATTGAGATAAATTTGTATGTGTCCTGCAGATTAAGAAGTAATGGCAACCCAGGTTCAGCTGACTGCAGTATAGCTTTTTAAAACAGTAATAGTGCAGGCTACATACACCACACACTCTGTTACTTGAACAAGTTTGTAACCATTTAAAATGCGGTACGAAAAGTAGTAATTATGTTAGTGACTCTATTGCTGCTATGAGTAATGTGTTTTCTGCATTTGACCCGTTGTCAGGATCAGCGGGTGACTAAAATGCAGCACCCACGGGACCCTTCTGTTAATGTTGTGTCAGGATCTGGGTCAGGAGTCTAACTGGTGGGTAGTATACTGTGCATTTTTATGTTTGTTTTTAGTTTTTTTTTTGCGGGGGAGGTTTTTTGGAACGACCACCTACCCACCCAGCTCCCCATCCCACCCAGGCACAGGGAGAACATGCAAGCACGTGACGCAACAGCCTGTGTCACAAAACTATGAAGCCAAACCCTTAGAAACACCACCACAAATTGTTTAAATCAGTCTAATTTTGGCAACGTTTGGAAATCACCTCTCCAGAGCAGCAGTGTGGTGGTCCTATTTGGTCGGACCCGGTGTATTTTCCATGTCTCCCAGTCTCAATAACCACTCCGCCCTTGTAGTGGTCTCTCTCTTTCTCTCAGCCCACATAAAGTAAATAGCCTCTAACCCTCGCACACCCCTGCTCCCAGTGGTCACTTCACATCTGCTGCAGGACCACACACATACACACCACTAGGTTTTAATGAGCATTTGAAAACATATAGACTCATAACAGTTTAAATGGTTGGTTATATAAGACTGAGCCTATGTCATCATGTGTGAAGTAGAACCTGTCTGCTTTTGAGTGCGGACAAATTAAAGGCTAGAATTACACAAATGAAGCATGAAGGATTTGGACATAAAGTTCTCGCCACTTCAGTGCATACAGAATGCCTTAAAGGGACAGATTTTTTTTTTATTTGTCTAAGTATTTCAGCAAAAATTTTCTGGCCCCAGTAAAGATATATTGTATAAATCTGCTGTGTACTTTCTGCATCTAATTATAAACTGTATTGTCTGATAATCAGGAAGTGTGCTATTAGCATATTAGTTGTTGTTAGTATTACCATGACTCCACTCCAGCCTCTGAAAGTTTAGAAAAATGCTTATAAACCATGAATAATTAGGATGCTCAGAATGCAAAAAGATAAGAAAGGAATAGTTTTCGGCCACAGTTCAGTTTTTCACATTTAATTAAGCATAAACAAAAACTTCATAACAAACATTTTCTCCTTGTAAGATTTCCTTCCTATTAATTGGACATGGACAATAGGGTAGATCAATCCGTGTATCATTCGTTCATTAGTTTTTCGAAATAAAAGCTAAAAGAAAAAAAAAGAAAAAAAATCTTCATTATTTGTCTCCAAAACCAAAATGAAAAAACTGATAAGAATTAATTTTTTCAGTTTTCAATTTTGTGTTTAAATGAATAATGGAAAAAGTGGCCATTTCCCATTCCGTGCCTTAAACTGGGATGCTGGACTTTTGCACCGCATACGGACTAAACCAGGTCTAAACCAGATCTAAACCAGGTCTTGACAAGGACTGAACCAGGTCTCAGTCTCAGTCTCCTGGTTTAAGTCTCGGTCTGGTCCCGGTCTGGTCCCAGCCTCAGTCTTGATCACCCGAGAGTTTACGTAGGGGCACCTCCAGGTCGTCCCAACACTCCTGGTTCAGGATTGAAACCGGGACCGGACTCGGACGAGGCCAGGACTGAAACTGGTTTAGTCCTGGATTAGACCTGGTTTAGTCCTGATTCAGCTCTGGTTTAGACCTGGTTCAGTCCTAGGATCAGTCCATATGCGGCGCAAAAGTCCAGCATTGCAGTTTAAATCACAGAAACGAGGAATTGTCCACTTTTTCCATTATTCATTTTAACACAAAATTGAAAACTGAAAAAAGTTATCATTTTGGTTTTAGAGACAAATAATGAAGAAAACAGTTGTTTTTTTTGTTTTCTTATTTTTGATTTTATTTTGAACAATGACTGAACAAATAGATCTTTTAAAGTGAGTGTATTTTGGATACAGCTTGCATAATTTACCAAGAAAATATATCCACAAATGTACTATCTAATCACACTGTTACACTGGATTATCATTAACAGTGTTAGCATGTCTTGTATTAAGTTAAACTGAGTCAGATACACACTTATATATCCATGTTCTGGCCACATTTGCGCTTTGTGTTTGTTTTCCTCGGCACACTGACCAGACGTGGACTGGGACTGCGTTTATCAGTGCTTCATGGTTCACTGTGCATGCTGATCACTCACCCACAGAGCACCCACAGAGCACCCATGGGTGACCCCTGTTTACCACTATGCCTCATACATCAGCATACACCGGGCACCAGGTCACCAAAGTTCAACATTTATAGTATAGCATTCAGTTACATGTGGTCAAGTGGAATTCAGCCAGTCTG